ATCTGTGCCTCCTCCCCAAGTAGCAGCCAGGATGCAGAAAGGCCCGTAGGGTTCCGCGTGGTACACAATCCCTCCAGGTGCTGAGCATCAGTCAGCTTGGCGCCCACTGGGCATCCTAGCTGAGCTATTTCAAATCCTGAAAGACGATGCTGTGAGAGTCCTGCACTCAATATGCCAGCAAGTTTGGAAAACTCAGCAGTGGCCACAGGACTGGAAAAGGTCAGTTTTCATTCCAATCCCAAAGAAAGGCAATGCCACAAAATGCTCAAACTACTGCACAATTGCACTCATCTCACACGCTAGTAAAGAAATGCTCAAAATTCTCCAAGCAAGTCTTCAGCAATACATGAACCGTGAACTTCCAGATGTTCAAGCTGTGTTTAGGAAAGGCAGAGGAACCAAAGATCAACCTGCTAACATCTGCTGGATCATTGAAAAAGAGAGTCCCAGAAAAACATCTATTTCTGCTTTATTGACTATGCCAAAGCCTTTGACCGTGTGTATCACAATAAACTGTGGGAAATTCTGAAAGAGATGGGACTACCAGACCACCTGACCTGCCTCTTGAGAAACCTATGTGCAGGTCAGGAAGCAACAGTTAGAACTGGACATGGAACAACAGACTGGTTCCAAATAGGAAAAGGAGTACGTCAAGGCTGTATATTGTCACCCTGCTTATTTAACTTATATGCAGAGTACATCATGAGAAACGCTGGGCTGGAAGAAGCACAAGCTGGAATCAAGATTGCCGGGAGAAATATCAATAACCTCAGATATGCAGATGACACCACCCTTATGGCAGAAAGTGAAGAAGAACTAAAGAGCCCCTTGATGAAAGTGAAAGAGGAGAGTGAAGAATTTGGCTTAAAGTTCAGCATTCAGAAAACTAAGATCATGGCATCCGGTCCCATCACTTCATGGCAAATAGATGGGGAAACAGTAGAAACAGTGGCTGACTTTATTTTTCTGGTCTCCAACATCACTGCAGATGGTGATTGCAACCATGAAATTAAAAGACACTTACTCCTTGGAAGGAAAGTTATGACCAACCTAGATAGCATATTAAAAAGCAGAGACATTACTTTGCCAACAAAGGTCCGTCTAGTCAAGGCTGTGGCTTTTCCAGTAGTCATGTATGGATGTGAGAGTTGGACTATAAAGAAAGCTGAGCGCCGAAGAATTGATGATTTTGAACTGTGGTGTTGGAGAAGACTCTTGAGTGTCCCTTGGACTGCAAGGAGATCCAACCAGTCCATCCTAAAGGAGATCAGTCCCGGGTGTTCATTGGAAGGACTGATGTTGAAGCTGAAACTCCAATACTTTGGCCACCTGATGCAGAGAGCTGACTCATTGGAAAAGACCCTGATGCTGGGAAAGATTGAGGGCAGGAGGAGAAGGGGAAGACAGAGGATGAGATGGTTGGATGGCATCACCGACTTGATGGATGTGGGTTTGGGTGGACTCCGGGAGTTGGTGATGGACAGGGAGGCCTGATGTGCTGCGGTTCATGGGGTCGCAAAGAGTCGGACACGACTGAGCGACTGAACTGAACTGACCTGGGCGTCCTAGGGCAACAAATGCTCCTGTCTTACACTGTGTTTCCTAGCCGATTTCTCCAGGGATCTGGGTCCAGTAGACACAATGCTGTTCAGGGGTATCCAGCCTACCCCTGTGGAGCCCCTATACCTGGTTCCTCCAACTCAAAGTGAATTGTCTTCCAGATCAAGTGCACACACACACACACAACCAGCCAGTTGGTAGCTACCGATGACCCTGATTCCCACATTCTTTTTAGCCTCCCAGAATAGGAGGTAAGAGTGAAGTGATAGAAACTATCTACCAATATTTATTCACACTTATGTCAGAGAATAGGGCGAAAATTCATTTCCCAACCTCCTTCACAGTTCGATGTGGCTATTCATCAATGTTCTCACCAGGGAAACGTGGATGGACGGGACACCTATGTGCTACTTCGGGGCCCAGGCTTTAAGTCTGTGGCCACATCTCTGCCAAGTTCTCTTTCCCTTCCTGCTGACTTGAGTTCAGGGAGACCTAGCTTAACAATGCAGGGACAATGCTCTGCAGAATGGCAGGGAATCGTGATGGAAGGAATCTGGACTCTAAAATGTCTGCAATGCATGTAGCTTCTGGCTGCTCTGGAACAGTCAGTCACCAGGCAGTTAGGTGAGAGATAAACTTCTATCTTCTTCTGTCCATGTAGTTATTGTTGGGCCTCTTTGTTACAGCTGCTGGGCTTTACTCTGACTAGCACAGGGGAAAAGAACATGGCCAAGCTGAAGGCTTCCCAGGCTAACATGGCAGCCCAATCCACCAGCCACTGAACGGTTTGGGTTTGTGTCATAAGAGGCCACTGGGGAAGGAAGCCGTGTTCCATATTGATTAAGATGGAATCAGACCGGGACTTCCCTGGTGGTCCAGTGGCTAAGACTCTTGAGCTCCCAAGTCAGAGAACCTGGGTTCTATCTACAGTCAGGGAACTAGATCCCATATGCTACAACTAAGATTTGGTGCAGTCAAATAAATAATTTTTTTTTAAAGATGGAATCAGACAGATCTAAGTTTAATTTTGGTTGAAAGTGAAAGTGAAATCGTTCAGTCGTGTCCGACTCTTTGCGACCTCATGGACTGTAGCCTCTCAGGCTCCTCCGTCCATGGGATTTTCCAGGCAAGAATACTGGAGTGGTTTGCCATTTCCTTCTCCAGGAGATCTTCGCGGCCCAGCCATTGAACCCGGGTCTCCTGCATTGTAGGCAGATGCTTTACCATCTGAGCCAGCAGGGAAGTCTAATTTCGGTTAGAACATTCATTAGTGTTTTGAACCTTGGATACTTTCACTAACAAATTAAGTCTCAATTTCGACTGTAAAATGAGGATAATAAAAGCTCCTACTATATGAAATATCATTTCATATGATTATATGAGATAATATAGCTCAAGGGCTTGAAAATGTTTGCTGCTATTAATAGGATCAGGTGATAATCCAGATGTGATTTTTCCCACCCTCATTCTCTAAGGAGGGAAGGAAGCTAATGTCTTTTTAGAAGTATTTATTCATTTTATTTATTTATTGGCTGCTCTGGGTCTTAATTGCAGCATGTGGGACCCTTTAGCTGTGGCTTGTGGGATCTAGTTCCCTGACCAGGGATTGAACCCTGGGCTTGCTGCAATGGGACGTGGAGTCTTAAGCACTGGACCATCAGGGAAGTCTCTCTGGAATTAAAAAAAAATTTTTTTGATCCGTGGTTGGTTGAATCTGTGGATGTGGAAGCCACAGATATGGAAGGCAACTGTACAAGTCCCTAAAATTTTCAACACATAACATTTCTTAAGTATCTACTATGGGCCAGGGACTAGGATGGTGTTGGAGAACAGAGAGGCCCTTGTGGAAATTAAGTTTTGCTTCACTTTTCAGAGGGCAGCAGCCTTTTCAGGCTCATAAACTGGAATCCTGAGCACCAATTGAGTTGAAATTTACCTTGACCAAGAAGGAAATCCTGATTCTTCACATCACGTTATGGGATGCCCAAATCTCACTGCAGTTAAGTTAAACCATCATCTCTGGAGCCTGGACGCTGATGTTTCAAAAGCATTGAGGTGTCTCCAGTGAACAGGTGGCACTGAGTCTGAATACTACTTCTCCCAGTTGTCCACACCATACCAAACAGAAGTTTCTTAAACAAGGTCTCAGCTTGGCATTCACCTGGCAAAACCTTCCATGTCTTCCACTGCCTACAGGCTGAAGTCCAAACTCTGCATGACATTCACAATTTGGATCCAGCCTCTTTCCATTAATAACACTAACGGCTAAAATGGACTGGGCATTTCATACATACCCCTTGGTATTGTACCAAGGACTTTCTGTGTGTTATCCATTCACTTGTCACCTAACCTTAGTAGACTATGTCTTGCCCAGCTTCCATATTATAATAATAAGGGGACATTCTAAGAAAAGCATTTAGCACAGTGGTATGTAGTTTACTGCTCAGTTAACAGTAGCTATGACAGCTATCATCCCTGTTCTAAAGATGAGAAGGTTCAGGGGTGTTAAGTAACATGCTTAAGACCACAGTCCTGATAAGTGAACGGAAATGGGGCCTGAACCTGAGAAGTCTGGCTTCAGTGCCCAGACTACCTGTTCTTTCACCCTGCCACTGAGAGCAGTGTTTGTCTCAGGGCATCTTCCAGAGCTGCCCTAGAGGATGTTCCCTTCATGGTTAGAACACCTCCCTTCATCCTCCTCCAGGAAGGCTTCCTTCCTGCACTTCCTTCCCTCACGACCCCCACTAAGCAGAGGCTGATACCTCTGAGCCTTCTCAACAGACCTCCCTCTCCACTCTCATCCCACCCATCTGTCACTTAGACAGAGGGTGCACCCCCTCTGGGGGACATTGTCCTCGTCACCTCTGGCTCTGCCATGCCTGGCCTGGCATGGAGCAGACCTCTGCGAATATTGTCACTGCAAGCCAAATCCATTGACGAGAACCGGGCCAAGAGTGGAGAGCAAGACCTTCTGGCAGAAACGGCCTGCCTGTTCCCAGCTGTCAGCGTGCACTCCAGAGCAAGCACGCTCGTGCTTTTTTTTGGCCAGAGCCCCCTCACCACTGGCCAGAACTTCCAGTCCCCTGGCCGTGGCTCTCAATGTGCTCTCCAGCTACCCCCTGAAGTTGACCAGCATGGGGTTCACCCCAGAGGAGCCTGAATCATCCAGTAACACGAGTCTAGAAGATTCTTCACTTCCCCCAGTTCATTTTTTCAACAAATATTTGATTGAACCCTGACTTTGAGCCCAGCACCAGGAACTGGATACAGGGTGGAGTGCAAACCAGAAATGGTCCCTGGCCTCTGGAGCTTATGCGCTGGTGAGGGAGACAGTTCACCAGTAAGTAAACACACAAATGGATGTGCAATGGTAAAGTCCACATGAAAAAAAAGAATAGAGGACTTTGAGATAGAGTCAAGCCCAGTAGTCAGGGAAGGACTCTCTGAGGAGGTGACATTTCAGCCAAGGCCTGAGGGTATGAAGAGCTTTCAGCCTGCAAAGGGTAGAGAAAGAGCATCCTTGGCGAAGGAAACAGCAGATGAAAAGTCCTAGAGATGGGAATGAGGCTGGAATAAGGAAGAAATGAAGGAAGGCCAGGCTGGAAGAAACGCAGGCAACAAGCTTGAGATTGGTAAGAAAAAGGCTGAAAGTTAAGTTTGGGACAAGAAGAAGAGCTTGCCTTTTATCCTTAGAATAATAGGGAAGTGGAGTAAGGATGTGAAACCAGGGTTGACATTCTATGGTTTGCATGTTTAGAGCTCTCTCTGGCTGTGCTGAGAACGGACTGGCAAAGCAAAAACGAGGCAGAGTGACCTTTTGGAGGGCAGAAATCTGGGGAGAGGTGCTGTGGCCACACCAGGGTCGGGGCTGTGGGCTCAGAGAGAAGTGGATGGACTCCAGACATAGGTAAGAAGTAAAACTTTGCAGAGGTTTTCAGAAAAACTAAAAAAAACTTTATTGATTATGTGTGACAACCGCAACGGGCGGGAGTCAGGGGCACCAGCAAGGTTTGGGAATATAAACAAAGATACACGTGCCCTCAGCCACGGAAACCAATACACATAGTCACCATTTCCCCCACAATCTCTCAGGGAGAATGAACCCCAGGGAAACTAAGATGCCGAAGGTTCTGGGTCATTCCTACCTCATTCAATGGTGTCAACTGATTTTTTTGAAACAGGGTATTTGAAATGTGAAAATGTGTTTCCCACTGTCCTGCCATCAGATGTTGGATTCCTGGGCTAGGAGGTGGTCAAACTGCAGGACTGGAGCACTGACCTGACTTCCGGGGCACAGTGAACCGCCACCTGCAGTGGCCGGGGAGGAGGAGGGTGCCAGGGAAGGGGGGGGGGAGGAGGGCCTGCCCCTTGTAAGAAAGGTGACGCTGGCCTGTGCCTTCCACCACCACCCTCTGTGGCCCCTCCCAACTCCCGGGCACCTGCTGACAGCCCTCCCTCCCTGCGTCAGCAACCCCCGGCCAGGGACCGCTCCCTGAAATGACGCCTCTCTCCACGCAGAAAGAGGTGGAAGACAGCAGAATCTGATCCAACCACCTCACACTGAGGCGTAAAAGAATGCCTTTAGTTCTTTATCCCTCCTTGAGGAATTCGCCTTCTCAAAAGAGCTTTCTGGGTCATTTAAACGATCTCTGCTCTCCTACCCACTTGTCTGAAAGGGCCCTTTCTCCCCAGGGCTTTTGCAAACTCTTTTTAAGCCCATGCAGTCTCCCCAAACTCAGCCTCTGGGGAGGGTAGTTCCATCACAGGGTAGGGGTGGGAGACTCTTCCAGGGGTGACATTAGAAGCATTTGATAACTGTGCAGTGAGCACCAATGACTTGCCAGCGGGAGGGCCCCGAGGCCTTGGGTCAGCCTGGTGTTAACCAGCACGGGGTCCTGGGGAAAAGCCACGTGGTGGGGGCACCTGGAGGCAGTCGGGGAAAGCAGGTATTTGTCAACAGGCACAGCAGTGTTTCTTTGTTTTAACGACCATCTGGCAGCGCTAGGTGGGCTGTGTCAGCTCTGATCCTCCCCATCTTGTTCAGTTTCTGTTGTCCCACTGGGAAAGGTCTCTGGGCCATTTGTTCCGTTAGAGGGAAAGTGGCAGGCGGGAACTCGGGAATGCAGTGGCCTTTGGGCAAAGCCAGCCGCGTGGAATCCCAGGTGAAGAGGATCCCAGGCCCTCGGAGGCCCTCGGCCCACTGCGTGACCTTGAAGGGCCGAGCCGCCTCTGACTGTCCTTCCTCTCGCCCCTCCTCACAGCTATTTTTGTCCAGCCTGACAGCCCTTGGCGATCCCAGCCGTCTGGGCTCCGTGAGCCGGATGCAAAGCAGGCAGCACAAACGTCTGGTGCTGAATCCCAAGAGGATTCCTCTCTGGGCGCCGTCACGTGGGAACGCGGCTTCTGTGCTGTGTATCCGACGGGACCACAGGCCAGAACGGTGAGCATGCGGGAGGCAGGGAGCCGGGCTCTCTGCTGCACAAGCCTGGCTCCTGTCTGAGGGCACCATCCGAGGCCTGGGGGTGAGGACACCAGTCACGGAGCCCAGAGACCTCCCGCTGTGTGCAGGGAACGGTGGTCACCTGGGGGGGGGGCGGTGTTAGCTGGGAAGAGCGTAGGCGCCGGCCCTGCTGAGCTCCCAGTCCCCAGTCTCGGCCGTGGTGGACAGCAGGTCTGTTCTGGGGGTCACTGGGATGGGGGAGGAGATAGGTGGGCTGGGCAGACAGGGTTCCCAGGAGACGTCTTTGTGGGCCCTGCGAGGTTACTATCTCAGGAAGTGAAACAGACACTATGTCCCGGCCCAGGGGCCTGGGAAGTCTGCAGCCAGGCAGTCACTGCGCCTGGCTGGGGTCTGATCTCTAGGGAAGCAGCACGCCATAGGTCATTATGCCTTTTAAAGCGTTGTTCCCAGACCTGAGATTAATGCCTACTGCCCCATTTGTTCTCAGGCAGGAAAGGGGTTTGGGCACAGCTCTTGGGGGACTCTCCTGGGACTCCTCTGTCCAGAGAAGAAATGAGACCCATACTCTGAGATCAGAACAGCTCCAGGAGAAGCTGGGACAAGCAGTGAGGAGGGGAAATGAGCCAAAGGAGGAGGGTTCCTTGGATGGGTGAAGAAGACACCTTCATACATAACCAGTCCAGGAAGCAGAGCAGAAAAGGCAACGCCATTTTTAGAGCTCCTGGAAAAAGAACTCTCCTCCTTCCTGGGAGCAAAGCCAGCTCAGAAAGCCCCGACTTCAGTGATCTCGGAGACCCAGGAGCGACAGAGCATAGCTCCTGCTGGCCTCCCAGCTGGCCCTGGGGAAGAAGGTCTGGGGCCAGGAACAGCCACATAAGCAGGAGACACCACCACACCAGGGGGGACAGGGGAAGGAGACCGAAGAAGGGGTGCCACGTGGCTGCTCCTGATGGCCCTGCCACCAGGGGCTGTAGGCAGGGGGGCAGCTGGCCTCTCCAGGGGGCGGGCCCTCCGGGCTGAAGATGCCCCTCGACTGGGCAGCAAATTCCTCCGGGCTGGCAGGATGGCGCCAGCAGCTCTGCGCAAGGGGGCTGCTCGGAGGGCCGGGATGGGGTAAGCCAGAGAGGAGGCATTGGGAAGCATGGGGCCGGGCACTCTTCCTAGGATGGCGAGCTGGTTGCTCGGGGCAGAGAGCCCGGGACAGCTGTGGAAGAAGGACCAGGGCCAGGCAGGGAAGGCCAGGGGGCCGGCAGGCGTGGGTGAAGGCTCCATCTCGGCTGCATAGCTGTTGAGGTGGGAGAGAAGGCGGATCCGCACTGGGTCTGCACGGCTGCTGGGTCCTTCCAGGACCCCCAGGTACCTGATGACCTCGGTGAGGCACTCCCGAAAACCGATGCTCCGGAAGTCGACCGCCAGGGCTCGGGCATCAAAGAATCCTGCAAAGTGAGGCACGATGAGGGCATGCCGGGCAGGGGACAAGCACGGAGCCCGAGATCAGGCTGTCCTGAGTTCTGAACCCGCTTTCCTCACTCACCCCTGTGTGACCTTGGGCATGTCACCTCACCTCTCGGAGACCCAGTCTCCCCATCTGTAAAGTGGGAGTGGTAAAGAACCTGCCTGCCAATGCAGGAGACACGGGTTTGACCCCTGGGTCAGGAAGATCCCCTGGAGGAGGAAATGGCAACCCATTCCAGTATTCTTGCCTGAAAAACTCCATGGACAGATGTGTCTGGTGGACTACAATCCATGGGCTTCTAAGAGCTGGATACAAATGAGCACAGGCACACATGTACACACATCTGGGGTTGAAGAGGTGAGGTCTGAGGGCCAAATAAATTCACTAACCAGAGCATTGTAGAATATATTGTTTTCATCATAACTCATGATTAACGCAAAGAAGAAACTCTGTGGCCAAGATAACTTCATTTAAGCAGATGCTTGCTAGGTGTGAAAGGGTTGTGCACATGGAGGTATGGAACAGTCCTGAGGATGGGGGTGGATGCTGGGAGGTGCTGCTACGAGCTGGGAGAGTCTTTGGAGAGGGGAGTGGAGAGTAGCAATGAAGCATGAGGTCTCTGCAGGCCAGTTGCTTGAACATGGACTTAACCAGCACCCTAACTATGGACAAGATTCTTAATCTTTCCATGCCTCAATTTCCTGAGCTGTGAAATGAGCATATAACAGTACTTGCTACATACAGAAGGGAGGACAAAATGAAATGGTGCACAGAAATACCTAACAAATGAAAAGTGAACTATCATTTATATGACTGGTTTGGCCCCCATAGGTATTCGAGTTTGTTTCCCATCACAAAGTGCAGTCTAGAAAGCACGATCCCACCCTGGACCTCAGCTGCTGCCCTCAAGCCAGGCACCCTGTTTTGGAGGCCTGATAATCAATTTCGGGTGACCAGGGGGACTGCCAACAAGAGTATTCACATTCTCACTGCCTCTCCACTCCTGCCCCTCTCTCAGTCACCTTCTGGGCAAGGATGGAACAGCCCCAGTGAGGACTGGCCTCATGATCATGGCAGCAAATATCAGTTCCCTGGTTCACGGCTGAGGCCCCCACAGCGGGACAGCTTGGCAGGAGACGATGTTTGGAGCCAGGCCTCCCTGGAGGCAAGACCTGGCTCTGGTGTCTGCTTAGTTGTGCAACTTTGAGCAAATCAAATCGCCTCTCTCTGTTCACTGTTCTTTTTTCACTAACATTTGCTGGGTTCTTCCTAAGTACTTAATTTGCACTAGCTAATTTGAACCTCATAAAAACCGATCATTATTCCTATTTCAGAGGTGAGGAAACTGAGGAATAAAGGGCTTAAATCAATCATCTAAGGTCCTAAAACTAGTAAGCAATAAAGTCAGTGTTCAGATCCAAAGCCAGTGCTCTAAGCCACAATTCTCTGTCTTTCCATCAGCCCTTAGCCAGAAAACAGAGAGGACAACACCACCCACCCTCGAGATTCTTATGCGAATCAAATGAGATAACATTAGAGAAAGCATTTTGAAAACTATAAAATGATGCCAAATATTAGTCACTTTTCCTTTAAATTGGATAAATATAAATGTAGCTTGAACTATCTCCTCCCTTGGTTGATTAGAGACAGTTTCCACTGTCAGCCATGCATTTCTTTGGTGGAACTTTTCCAAGTGACTACTTGCAGCAGGGTCATCAGGCCTGCTTGCTAAACTGGCAGATTCTTAAACTCCAATCCAGACCTACTGCCTTGGGATCTCTGGAGTGTGATTCACGACTCTGCCTGCTCCCACATGACACTGATGCACACCAAGGCTTGAGAGGCACCAGGCTGGCTCACTTAAAATGCAACTGTTTCCTTGATGGGTAGCAAGTTAAAGTTTCAGGGCTTAAGTCTTCACAGACAAGGTCTGTGGAGCTTTCACAGTTTCCCAGTGGTGAAATTATGAAAACACACAGAGCAGCTTCAGAATTTCCATTTGTCCAGAAGTCTTTTAAAAACCACAGTTTCGTGACTTTTTTGTAGTGGACTAGCTCAAAATAACAGAATGAATTATATTTGCATCTTACTACCATCCCACAACTGATCTTTAACTGTGAGTGTGACATGTTCTCCCCCAACACCGCCAAGATCACAAGAGTCCAGAAGCCTAGATCAGTGGGTTGGCACACCATGAACTGCCATAGCTAAAAATCTCCCACTGGATTGCAGTGAGAGTGAGCTCATTCAGGCTGATGCTTAACGAGGCCCTGGCGGAAGGGAGGGACCAGTAGTCTGTTATAGAAGAGTTCCTCCAAGGTTCAAGGTTGGCAGGAGTAGAGCTGAAGAAAGGGCAGGACACAGGGAAACAATGAAAGCAGAGAGGGTGATGCCAAAGGAAGAAGAGAGACAAGCTTTGCTTCAGCCCCTCTGTGAACTGTGAGCTCCACGAGGGCAGGGACCGTGTCTGCTTTGCTCACCACTGTATCCCCAGGGCCCAGCCCCCAAATACTGGCTGGAGGAATGATTCTGGGAGAGCGTAGTATCCGTACCTGTGCCTCCAGTGGCGTGGAGCATTTTCAAGTGATCTACCGTCATCTGCAGGACCTCGGCTTTCTCCAGCTTGGAGGAGCCCTGTGTGTACAGGAGAGTGATGATCTTTAGCTGACCTCTGTCACTCCCCTCCCCTGCACAGGGTAACAACACTCACTGCCTCAGTTTTCTCCTCTTCCTTCAGCTCCACCAGTGCCTGAAACTGGGCTTCTGTTTTGGCCAAGCCTTCCAAATCTAAGATTTTCTTCAGTTCTCATTTTAGCCTGCTTTACCCATCAGTTCCTGAACGCCCTCCTCCCGTCTTCTTGCTCTGACTGACCCTTAAAATGGTGGTGTTCCCAGTGGGTGATGGCCCACTTTTCTTGTTCTGTGCACTCTCCTCAGAGGGTCCCCTCTACCTCCGTGGCTTCAGACACCATCACCAGAATGTCACTCCTGCATACCCACGTGCCTCCTAGACCAGCTTTACGAGAAATCCAACTTTACACTCATTACACACACACCCAAGATCGGGCTCGTCATCTTACCCCAAAGTAAGATGCTCTTCCTTCATTCTCTCTTGGGGAATGTTTCTGAGACTCCAGCATCACCTGGTCTCCCAGGTGAAACCTAAGGGCTGGACTCTCCATGAGAGTCCCTTGAAGGGTAGGTACTAAGTCTAGTTCATGGCTGGGCTTGTGAACGTTTTAATAAAGGTCGGTGGAACGACTGACTTGTTCCCCCCAGCAGAAAGGAAGTCACAGGACTTATGACCGTGCCGGGGTGCATACGGTGAGAGTCTTTGAGGTTGTCTGATTGACTCAACTGTCTGACTCTCCACGGAAGTCCCTCCACCCCAGCATGTTCAATGACAGCCTTACTCCCCAAGCAGCCTGTTCTACTTTCACATAGCTCTGGAAATGTCAGCAGTGCTGAGGGATAGGGCACTTTAGGATCACACAGTCTGTGTTCCAGTTCCACTCTGCTATTTACTAGCTGTGTGATCTGGAGTATGGAGTAAGTTACTTCACCTCTCTCTGTTTCAATTTCCTCACCGGTGCAATGGGCATCATAGTCCCAATCCTTCGGGATCATTCTGAGGATTCAATTCAACTAGATGATGAACATAAAGCCACAGCCCCTAAGACACCTCAGTCAATATGAATTTCCATTCCTTATTTCTGGCCATTGACAGGCACTTCACGGCACTTCAGGCATCTGCCACCAATCAATAAGAGATGCCATGAGAAGTGAATCCTATCTGCAACCCACACTGTACTTCCTCAAGCACATTCAGCAGTGTCACACACCTGCTTCTCAAAGGCAGTGGGGACCAAGCGCCGCAGTTCAGAAAGGCTGCTGTTGATGCGGTCCCGGCGCCGTTTCTCTATGATCTAAAAAGCAATGAGGAAAGAATCAAAAACCAAGTAGGCACTCCATCACAGTTTCCAACATGTTTTAATGGGCGCTGACTCATATCTTCCTTCACAATATTCCTGTAAGGGCGATAAATCCATTCTCACATTATGGAGGAGGAAAATAAGGCTCAGAGAGGGGCAGCAATTTGCTTAAGGTCACACAGCAAGGAAGTTCAAAGCTGGGAATAGAACTCAGACCTCTTGTCTTGATCTGAGGAGTGGTATTCAACACATTTAACCATTGATACAACAGGGCACCAATCAATTAGAATACAGACACCAACCACAGCCCCAGAGAAGACCCTGGAGACCTCTGCTGGGCCAGGGAGACCCCCTTGAGTTGCTGGGTCATGAAGTCAAGGGATGGCTTGGCTAGGCATGGCTCTTTCCAGCTGGGAAGGCCTTTCATTCCCAAGAGCTCATTCTCAGCTCATGATACTGGTAGCGGAATGCTTATCTCAGGATAGAAATAATGACACCCATTTTACTGACAAAGAGAATGCGGCTGGATGGAGGAGGTTTTTTGGTTAGTGAGTGGTGGGGCTGGTCTTTGCTGGATTCTGGGTCTCTGAACTTCCAGGACAGAAGCATAGCTACATCCTTCTTCTGTCCCCCTAACTCACCCCTCAGCACACTGGGAGGGAGTGAAAGTTCTGGGCTCAGAGAGAAGTGGGGAAGACTGGGATAAATAATAATGGCTAGTTTGAGTGTCACCTTTTGTTCTGAGCACATTAATTAATTCACTTCAAAACAGCCCTTTGAGGAAGGTACCATCATGATTTCAGTTACACAGATGAGAAAATGAGGCACAGAGAGGTTAAGCGGCTTGCTCAAGGTCACTCGGCTCCCTACTGGCAGAACTGGCACTTGAACCCTGACAGCATCGCTTCCCTCGTGTTTCTGACCAGGGTTCTCTGGGCCAGGCCCCTGGGAACTCAGGGCAAACCTCTGTTCCACAACTCTGCTGAGAAAGACACTCACCCCTCTGCGTTTCTTCCTGGCTTGCATTTGTGAAGGGCTGGGGGTGGACAGCGGCCGGGCCATCTGGCTGGAGAGGAAGAGAAAGGCCGATTTTTTAGAGGACCATCTCCCTGGCCTGGGCTGACCTCGGAGCCGGCTGTGGGCGGGCACAGCCCCCTCCCAGTGCCCGAGGTCTCCCAGGCCCGGGGGGAGGAGGCGCAGGGCAGGCGTGGGTGGGGACGCTTTCTCTCCCCTTCTCCCCGGGGGCTCTTTTCTCCTTGGGCCAACTCCTCCCCTGCACCGAGTTTCCTGCCCCAGAGTGGCCGGCGGCTGGGGCCATGGGATGGGGGGCTTAGCTCTCGCCCGAACCTGACCCGCTGGGCCTCGGCCCCTGCCCCTCGCCCTCGGGAGAACCGCACCCCGGCCAACCGGCTCCTGCAACACGATCCCCCGGGCGGGGCGGGCGAGGGCGCGGGCGGCGGCGGCGGCGGGGCCGGGCCGGCGGGTTGGGTTTCAGAGGGAGCCGCTGGGAACGAGCGTGGAAAGAACAGATGCCGCCGCTTCCCACGGGCCGGGCGCGCCGGCCGCCCGCCCTCCGCCCGGCCTGCAGCTGCCGCCTCCTCCCACGCTGCGCGGCCAGGCCGAGGGGGAGGCAGCATCTGGGTCACAGGCCCCTCTCGGACTCTGGGGACGCGGCCCTGGCCTCCCCCAAAAGCCCTAGCCTCGCATCGCTTTGGGCCTTCAGTCCGCCGGCCGCGGGGGCTGACTGAAGGATGGATGTCCACTCGCACCCTAGGTGTTCCCGTACGTGGAGGAGGCTCAAGCCCTCTGGGGCTATTCCTGCCCGTCTGACTGATATTCTCATCAGCCCAACTGCTTGCCGTCTTAAGGGTCTCCTGCTTCAGAGGCTCTCCTGGAGTGAAGGGGATTTGCTGGGCTGCACTTAGGATCATTCATTTGGCCAACATGCCAGCGGCCCCACTCAGACCCAGGACTGGACTGGATGCCCTCGGCCAGGCCCCAGACCCCAGCTCCCATTGAGGATATCATAGCCACAAATAACTGCAGACAAGGGGACTTCCCTGCTATTTCAGACACACATCTAAACAGGAACCCAAGAGCTCCTCTCCACCTAAAACCTCCCCTCACCACCCCTCACCCCCATGCAGGTTCTCATCTCACCAAAGGCACACATCTCCCATTTCTGCAAGGTGGGCACTCAACCACCATCTTTGATTCCTTCTCTGTCCTCACCTATCCCATGAAACCTACCCATTCATGTCTAAAATATATTTCACATCTGTCCCCCTTATTTCCATTGCCAATCTTAGGACCAAGCCTCCATCACCTTTCTAGTCTGCAGGAGTCTATGGTATCCTACTACCCCGTACAAGCAGGCAGAGTGATCATCTAAATGCTGGGACCTCCTTGGTGGTCCAGTGGTTAAGACTTTGCTCTCTTATGTAGGGGGTGCAGGTGTGATCCCTGGTTGGGGAAGCTAAGATCCCACGTGACTCGTGGCCAAAAAACCAAAATATAAAACAGAAGGAATTACATATACATTACCGTATGTAAAATAGATACCCAATGGGAAATTGCTGTATAGGAACTCAACCTGTGACCACCTAGAGGGGTAGGATGGGGTAGGGGTGGGGTGGCGTTAGGTTCAAGACGGAGGGGCAATAGGTATACTTAACAGCCAATCAGTGCTGTTGTATAGCAGAAGCCAACACAGAATTGTAAAGCTTTAATCCTCCAAATAGATTAACAACAAAAAAACCCAGAAACAATATCGTAGCAAATTCAATAAAGAAGTTAAAAAAAAAAGTCTTTAGTATTTCCCTGGTGATCCAGTGGTTAAGAATCCCCCTGCCAATGCAGGGGACACGGGTTCGATCCCTGCTCGGAGAAGATTCCTGTGTACCACAACTACTGAGCTTGAGCACTAGAGCCCATGCTCTGTGACAACAGGGGTTATTGTGGTTGTGTTGGGCTCAGTCGTGTCCGACTCCTCCCGACCCTATGGATTGCAGTCCACCAGGCTTCTCTGTCCCCGGAATTTTCCAGGCAAGAACACTGGGATGGGTTGCTGTTTCCTATTCCAGGGGATCTTCCTGACACAGGGATTGAACTCACATCTCTTACATCGCCTGCATTGGCAGGCAGATTCTTTACCACCGGGCCACCTGGGAAGCCAGTAACAAGAGAAGCCACCACGATAAGAGACCCGAGTCCTGCAACCGGAGAGTGGCCCCCGCTCACTGCAACTAGAGAGAGCCCGTGTGCAGCTTTGAAGGCAGAGCACAGGGAAAAATAAATAATTTTTTTTTAATCTTAAAAAAAAAAAATCAGATCATGTCACTCTCTTAAACTCCTCAGGGACTTCCCAAAGATCAAGGCCACCATCTGTCAGGTAGCCCAGCTGGCCCCTGTCACCTCCTAGACGCAACTCTTTTTGCTCTGTAGGTTCCAGCTTGTGAATGCACTAATCCTTTCTTGTGGTGTCACACACTGTTTCCCTGGTCCACCCCCTCTCCTCACCCAACCCCAGCCCTTTCGCCTAGGAACTTCTACCTCCTTTCAGATCTCAACTCAAATGTCAACTAACTGGGGCAGTCTTTTCTGACATCACCCCTCCCACCTGATATTTGATTGTCTATCTCTACATGAAGTCCGTAATTTCCATGAGGCCATGAACCATGTCTGTCTCATTCATAGTTGTACCCGGTACTCAGCAAATCCTGGAACATGACAGAGCCCATGGTTGAGCTCTGCCTCCTGCCCTCGCCTTTGGCATCACTGAAGGACACAGAGGTGACACCATAAAGTCAACGTCTTAGACCTTCATGAAATGGCATATGTGGCTTGCCCGGAGGGTTGCAGCCCACTTGACAATCCTCTTGGCATTAGAGGTTGGATCATTTTCATCACTGCTCAAAGAGAAAAGGCTGCAGGGGAGACCAGATCAACATTTGCCAAACCTTACTGCTATGGCCCTGGCTTTGTCCAGCTACATCTGGAAAAGGCTATTTCCATCCAAACATCTGGACAAGAATGTAAGGCCAGTGAAAACTCCTGGAAGTGATGGCTCAGCAAGCTAGGCCCAGGGCTCAGGGGGCCAGATCCTGAGATCTCTAGGGCGGCTTGTTTACAAAGCTTCACTCTGGACAAGCCGCAAGAGCCAAGGTCTACTAAGAAACACGGCCTTTGTCCCTCCAGGGTGGGTAAGGTGTCTCCAGGGGTATTGGGTTAGCACTGTGCGCGTCACTGCCTTCAGCCTGATCCCTCCTCAGGGACCATCTGTTGGAGGCTGACACCCCCCTTTCAGGGGAGCTCAGCCATCCCTTTCCCACCCTCCTGGTTCTCTGCATCCCTCTCCCTCCACTCTTGTATCCCACAGGCATGTCTCACATCACAGCTTTCCAGGCATCTCTACAGGTGTTAATACTTCTCTCCTTTGAAGGAGAGCCCATTTCACCCAGGCATCACCACATGTATGAATACTTCTCTCCTTTGAGGGACAGCCCCACTTCACCCGGGCATCACCACATGTATTAATACTTCTCTCCTTTGAGGGACAGCCCCACTTCACCCAGGCATCACCACATGTATTAATACTTCTCTCCTTTGAGAGACAGCCCCATTTCACAGATGAGGATGCTGAGCATGGGGAGCTACGGCAGCTTGCCCAGCCTATGCAGCTGCTGAGGAGCAAAACCCGCATGGGAATCCATGTCTTCTGGCTCCAAACTCAGCATTGTTTTCCCTCCTAATTCCTACTTCCTGTCTGTCTGAATAGCCCTCCAGTCCCCTTAGCCGAATAGCTCCCAAGAGCCCAGCCAGAGCGAGTTCTTTTCCAGGCTGTGATCTGGCCCTGACACTGGGAGAGGGTGTGAGAGCTTCTTGACTGAGAGCCTGGAAATAAGGCAGATTTTCAGGGGCCCAGAGAAAATACATTGAGTCCCAAGATCGGCTCCATGGGCATCAACAGATCCCTAGCCAGAATTCTGGGGTAGTCTCTTGAGGGAGAGGCAGCTTTCCAGGTGGTCTGGCCACCAGTCATGACCACCCTCAGTGGTCAGCCTCAGTTCTTTTTAGGGAAATACCCTGAGGAGCCTTTGCAGGTGACCCCGTTCATTTTCCATCAACCAGAGGCAGACTCACAATGTCTTCAGTGAAAGGTTTTCAGAGAGCATTCAGCCCACTTGTAAAATGTGGAAACTCAGAGAGGGGAAGGTATCTGCTCCAGGACACACAGCAAATTAAAGGAAATTCCAGAGCTGAAGCCAAGTCTACTGGTTTTTCATCCACTGCTCCCCACGTAGTCATCATCCCACCGTGTATACATCATAGCCAGTACTTCCTGTTCTAGACAGCATTTCCACGTTTGCTTGTTTCATTTATCATACAATAGCTCTGTGAATTAAGTATTGGGGCCATTTCACGCTAAGGAAAAATAATCATTTGCTAGCTGGAGGGAGAGAGACACAAAGTCCCGTCTACAGACATCCAGGCTTTTCATTAGACCATGCTGTTTCATGAACATGGCACCCTCCAACTGAACAGTGACCCCTTAGCAGTTTTTAAAACTTAATTAATTAGGCTGCGCTGGCTCTTCATGACTCACAGGGGGTCTTTCTTTGAGGTGCTCCGACTCTCCAGTTGTGGCATGTGGGCTCAGTAGTTGTGGTCCATGGGCTTAGTGGCTCCACTGCATGTGGATCTTAGGGATCTTAGGGATCTTAGGTCCCTGCCCATGGATCTAACTCGTGTCTCGTGCATTGCAAGGGGGATTCTTAACCACTGGGCCATCTGCCCTAGAGAGCAGTTTTATCTGGAAGTTGCCTTGTGTCAAAGCAAGAAGTTGTATGCCTTAAGTCCATTACCCTATCAAAGCCTCATCCTGTGAGGTAAGATATTAGCATCCCCATATTGTAAGGGAGAAAACTGGGATTCAGAAAGGGGTAGTCACTTGCCTAAGTTAATGGTGGTGAGAGTCACATACAAGTCTGTCTGACTTCAAAGGCCACCATGTGCCTCAAATCATGTAGAAACAACCCACAGACCCTGAACCAGTGCCTGACATGTGGCAGGTGCTCATTAAATTTTTTGCAGAGGGGGAGGGGAGAGGTATATTCTCAGTTTGGACCCATGGGTGTCAGGGGGCTGGGTTTAGATAGGAGCTCTGAGGGTGATTCTCACATGTGGGGCAGGACACGGCCACCAGGTGGACACCCACAGTGACAGTGGAACACACCCTGCTCTTTACTCTGAGTGGGGAGGGGTTGGAGCCCTGCCTCTGACCCTGGGGAGAGGCTGGCTGCTTCAGTCCCGTGGCCCTTGCCACTGTTTATCTGGCTTTCTTTGTCCATGGAGCTCTTCTTTTCTGAGAGTTCCCTGAGGGCAGAAGCTGAGCAGGATACATCTGGGCCCCCCACACCCAGCCCAGGGTCTGGGCCACAGCAGGCATCGTTCAGCGCTCCCTGAATTGAAGCATTGATGTCTGCTGGGGGGAGGGCCTTTTGGTGAGTGCTACAAAGAGGGGTCTATAAGTCCGCCTATGCCAGATGTCCAACTGCTTTCTCTCCTCTGAGGGGGTCTGCTCGCCAGAGAATCTAGACAGTCTCAAAAAATGGGCTCTGGTTGAAAGAACAAAATGTTGTATAGGAAAAAAAACTACGTACCGATCCTTTATGCCATAGTCCAAATGCCACTGCCTTCAGGAAGCCCTCCTTGCACATTTGGTTGTGAGTGACCTCTCCCTGTTCAGGTGCCCTCACAGCCCACAGTCTGTCTCTCCTTCCATCTTCCATCCTGCCCATGGACTTTGTGTGACCTGGCAGGTCACTGACCAGGCTGCAAATTCTTGGGAGGACAGAAGCCAGCTCCCATTGGCCTAGCTCTCTGACACCAATTTCACGCCTCTGATTCATGAAGACCCAATGACACTGAGCTTCAGACCCCTCCCCCGCCCCCACACACATGGCATTGGTCCCTTCCCCTGCTCCCAGCAGCCACAGACTCAGATAACTGATTCTTTAAATAGCAGTTTCTGCTAAACAGTTTTTAAAGGCTAGTAAGTTGCATAGGGAATTGTATTATATACCCTAAAACCTCATGAACAGGAAATTACCTCCTATTATAAGCTAGAAATAATTGGAAGGTGGTGGCCCTTTATTGAACTTGTGATTGAAAAGGATCCCCTGGTCTCAGAAAACTGGAGATCACTGAGATTATGACCTATTCTCAGAAACATCCCTAAGAATGAACGGAATCCCCTTTGCAAATCTAGTCTAGTGATTCAGGTTTAGATGAACCAGGAGGGACCAGATAGACCTCCCTTTTCTACTCCTTGTTCTCCTTTATTTCCTGACGAGGAAACAGGCTCTCAAAGGGAAAGCAATGGCCCAAGGTCAAACCGTGAGCTGGTGGCAGATTTGAGGCTAGGACTCAGGCCTGCAGGCTCCCAGTCAGTCCCTGCTGCTCTTTCAAGTTCTGGGTATCACATATTGAGTGCCTGATACTAATTAAGCATTTGCTACATGCTAGGCTCTGTGTGAAGCCTTTGACATAGGTTATCTCATTTGATTTTCCTAATAATTCTATGAGATCAGTTCTATTATTTATACCCATTTTACAGATGAAGAAACTGAAACTTAGCTTGTTCACAGAACTGGGATGTAACAGAGCTTTTACAAGTCTAGTTTGTTCTATAGGTTTGACACCAGATCTGAAAATGTACCAAGAGTCGAAAGACATTGGCAAGAGGCTGATGTGGTAGAAAGGACACTGGAATCGAATGGAGTCAAGGCCCTTGCATTGACCATAGGCACGTCACCGATTATTGTCTTCAATATTAAAACCTTAATTGCAAAGTCCAGTTTGCTCAAGAGGGATTTTCTTCCCCTGGAAATTTTTCTGTGTGTAGTATATGAAAAGTGCACCCAAGCTAGAGTAGAATTAAGAAACTGTGGTTACTCTTCATAGCCACTGCATTCTGGACCAGGGGGTGTGATACCAACAGCCCGGGAGAGCTCCTAAGATCTTCAGGGAAAGTCCCTGCCAGTAGCCTCACCCGGGCACTTTGAAAGGCATTGCCAACCTGACCTCAGACCCCGAGCTGAACTCTCCCTCCATGAAGCATCCCCAGCCCTGAACCGCGGAGAGAGCGCGGGATCTCGGGTACTCGTGCGCCTAACAGTGGCGCCACACCTGAGTAGCCCCAGGATTCGCCCAGCGCTCGGCAGTCCGTCGGCCAGCTTCCCAGCCGGCTCGCCCCCGCGCGCTCCGCACCCCCAGCCCGCCTTACCTCAGCTCGCCTTCGCGGCCCACGTCGATGGGTCCGTCGGACTCGCTGTCGGAGCCGCTCGGCTCCCGGGGCCGCTTCATCATGAGCGCGGGCTGCGCGGGTCTCCGCCGGGAGGCGCGGGCGGCGAGCCGGGAAGTCGGGCCCCGCCCCGGCCCCGCCCCGGGGGCGCCGCCGCCGCCCTTTCCCAGGGCCCTTTCCTGCGCCGCAGCCCCGGGCGCCCCCTCGCCCCCGCCGTGACGCGCTGGCCGAGCCGTGGGAAGGCCCCGGGCGGTCGCCGCCCCCGCCGACGGCTGGGAGGTCCGGCTCCTCTCCGCCGCCTCGGCCGCAGCGAGCTGGGTGGCCTTGGGCAGGTGCCCTTGGAGGCCCCCGGGGAGTCCAGGGGGTCCCCGTCTGGCCCTGGTTCGCCCTAGGGCGCTGCTGACTCCGCGATGCCCCAGACTGCCGAGGTCTAGTCGTGCCGGGGTCCTGGGAGCGGCAGACACATCCGGTTTGGGGAGGCTGGTGGGGGTGGCGGTGGCCTGATCCTCGACCAGAATCCTCCAGCAGCTTTCTTCCGAAAGGGTCTAGAACAAGTGTAATGTGGGGTGGGGTGGTGGCTGTCACCCCCAAAAGGATGGCCGTAGTTGTGGCTGCACCACCTGAGCAGGACCGGCTCTGGCCAAGTGTCCCCGGGAATCAGTTCACCAGAGGCCGAGCTGTCCTGGGAGGCCAAGAAGTCTCCGAGAAGTTGCCCATTCCTGAAGCGATGCCTCTAAAGGGAGTGGGTGGCAGTCTCCAGCCTCCCTTCCTGGGACTCCCCTACAACAGACCAAACTCGGCAGGGGCTCCTACTGCTCTGCCCCTCGGAAGGGAGACTCAAGGAAGAGTCTCAGAGATTCATCTGCCATCCTCATGGATCAGAGGATTGACCCCTCAAGGGTCAGAAGGAAACAGAATGGGGCATCCTGGAAGGTGGACTTCACGAGCAGGGAGGAGGAAGAGACGTGAAGACCATCTCCATGTGGTAGGTCAGACACCAGCGAAGCCCTTCCCTTCCACTTACCCACCAGGACACAGAGAAAGCCACTCCCACCCCCGCCCCACTTGGGAGAGTGGGGTTGGTCATCTGAGAATAACTGCACTTTCACTCCCACAGCAAGACCTGCTTGGGGCCACTTGATTATGGTGGGGGAAACGAAACAATCCCATGGCCCCTTCCACACATGACCACAGACATGATCGCGTGGCCAGGTACACAGACACGGGCTTCCCTGATGGCCCAGCGGGTAAAGAATGCACCCGCAATGCAGGAGACACAGGAGACGTGGGTTGGATCCCTGGGTCAGGAAGATCCCCTGGAGGAGGAAATGGCAACCCACTCCAGTATTCTTGCCTGAAAAATCCCATGGACAGAGGAGCCTGGTGGGCTGCAGTCCAAACAGTTACGAAGTTGCACGTGACTGAGCCGCTAAGCACAAATACACAGACCAAACAGGCAGACACACAGATACCCGGCTGGCACGCACAGTCAGAACCGACAGCCTGGGCTTCCTCGGGAGGCCCTGGTGCTCACACCAGCCACACCTGTGGACTCTTCTTCCAGATGTCCTCGGCACTCACATAGCTTCCATGGGCACCCACTTGTGGAATGGAAACCTCAACCAAAAGGGAAGGTTTGCAGCAATAGCATGTTGAGATTTTATAATCTTTTAAACATATTGGATTAAATAAAACATTAAAAATTAACTTGTCTTTTTAGTTTGGGGTTTTTTTTTTTTTTAATGTGGCTACTGGAAAAATTTTAATTGTATGTGCTGCTCCCTGTTCTATTTCCATCGGACAGTGCTAATCTAGTTCAGGTTTTCTTTCTTTTTAAAAAATATTTATTCTTATGGCTGCACTGGGTCTCAGCTGTGGCACTCAGGATCTTTTCTTCATGCAGTATACAGGATCTTTAGTAGAGGCATGCAAACTCTTAGTTATGGCATGTGGGAATATAGTTCCCTGACCAGGGACTGAACCCAGGCCCCCCTGCATTGGGAGTGCAGAGTCTTAGCCATTGGGCCACCCTAGGACAGGGTTTCTTGACCTCAGTCCCACTTGACATTTTGGGCTGGAAAATTCTTTATTGCCTGGGGCTGTTGCGTGCACTTTAGAATGTTTAGTAGAATCCCTGGTTTCTACTCGCTCCATATCAGCAGTACCTGCCCAGGTCATAACAATTAAAAATGTCTCTAGATGATACCAAATGTCTCCTGGGCGAGAAATCCTGCACCCCACCCCACCCTCCACCCACTGAAAACCACTGGTCTAGAGAAACCCCAAGATTTAGAGGTTGAGTAGAAGAAAAAGAGCTGCCAGAGGTTGAGAAGAAACAGCCGGGAGGTGGAGGAGAGCCAAGGGTGGGGGTTACAGGAGCCAGAGAGTGTTTCAAGGACTCGGTCATGATCATTTAAAACGTCAGTCAGATCACATCACTTCCTGCTCAAAACCATCCATAAGCTTCCCATGACATTCAGAATAAAATGCCAACTGCTTACCGTGGCCTACACGCAGGGTGACATGTGAAACTGGGGCACCTCTGAGAGTGAAAGAAAGCAACCCTAATAATAACTCTGCCGGGACCGCCAGGGCGTTACTGGGTGTGAGGCCATCCCAAGCCCTGGGCTCTGCCCCTTTCCTGTTCACCCAGGCACTACAGCCTTTGTGCCCTCCCCTGACATTTCCTGCCTGTGGTTGCGGCAGGACTTCAGATTGGTTGTTCCATCTTCCCCCGATTGTCTCGGACTCATCATCTCACTTTATTCGGGTCTTTGTTCATCTGTTCCATCCTTAGAGAAGACTTTCCTGACTGCCTGTCTAAAACGGCTGCCCCCTGCCTCATACCATTTTACTTTACAGCATCTATCAAGCTCATTGTTTAGTCACTTGGTTGTGTCCATCTCTTTGTGATCTCGTGGACTGTAGCCCGCCAGGCTCCTTTGTCCATGAAACTTCCCAGGCAAGAATATTGGAGTGAGTTGCCATTTCCTTCTCCAGGGGATTTTCCTGACCCAGGAATAAAATCAGCCATCTCCTGCATTGGCAGGTAGATTCTTTACCACTGATAGGTTGATTTTATTTAACATCTGTGTCCTCCACCACAAGACAAACTCATTGAGGGTAGACACTTGTCTCTCCTGTTCCCTGCTGATTCTCCAGCACCTAGTACAGTGCCAGGCATTAGGTAGATAAATAATACTTGAGGGCAATAAATACTTGAGTGCAATAAATACTTGAGGGCAGAATAAACTCATTTGAGATGCTTGACTACAATGGGAATATAAGCTAGGATAATAACTGGAGGCAGAGGTGGAAACTGGGTTTGTTTGTTTTTGCTTCTATTTTATTTTAAGATGGGAGTGAGTAGGGCATGGATCGAGCAGCAGGAAACCATCCCTCTGTAGAGTCTATGAAGACGCTTCCACCTTGACTGTGAAGTTCTTGGGGGTAGAAACCATTTGTGTTGTTCATCATCATGTCCCTTCAGTTCAGTTCAGTTCAGTTCAATCACTCAGTCGTGTCCGACTCCTTGTGACCCCATGAGTCGCAGCACGCCAGGCCCCCCTGTCCATCACCACCTCCCGGAGTCTATCCAAACTCATGTCCATCGAGTCGGTGATGCCATCCAACCATCTCATCCTCTGTCGTCCCCTTCTCCTCCTGCCCCTAATCCCTCCCAGCATCAGAATCTTTTCCAATGAGTCAACTCTTCACATGAGGTGACCAAAGTATTGGAGCTTCAGCTTCGCATCAATCCTTCCAATGAACACCCAGGACTGATCTCCTTTAGGATGGACTGGTTGGACCTCCTTGCAGTCCAAGGGACTCTCAAGAGTCTTCTCCAACACCACAGTTCAAAAGCATCAATTCTTCAGCACTCAGCTTTCTTCAGTCCAACTGTCACATCCGTACATGACCCCTGGAAAAACCATAGCCTTGACTAGAAGAACCTTTGTTGGCAAAGTAATGTCTCTGCTTTTTAATATGCTATCTAGGTTGGTCATAACTCTCCTTCCAAGGAGTAAGTCTCTTAATTTCATGGCTGCAATCACCATCTGCTGTGATTTTGGAGCCCCCAAAAATAAAGCCTGACACTGTTTCCACTGTTTCCCCATCTATTTGCCATGAAGTGATGGGACCAGATGCCATGATCTTAGTTTTCTGAATATTGAGCTTTAAGCCAACTTTTTCACTCTCCTCTTTCACTTTCATCAAGAGGCTTTTTAGTTCCTCTTCACTTTCTCTCATAAGGGTGGTGTCATCTGTATATTTGAGGTTATTGATATTTCTCCCAGCAATCTTGATTCCAGCTTGTGCTTCTTCCAGCCCAGTGTTTCTCAGGATGTACTCTGCATATAAGTTAAATAAGCAGGGTGACAATATACAGCCTTGACATACTCCTCTTCCTATTTGGAACCAGACTGTTGTTCCATGTTCAGTTCTAACTGTTGCTTCCTGACCTGAATATAGGTTTCTCAAGAGGCAGGTCAGGTGGTCTGGTATTCCCATCTCTTTCAGAATTTTCCACAGTTTATTTTGCCAAGAGAACGCATTGGTCATAGCAAACACCCTCTTCCAACAACACAAGAGAAGACTCTACACATGGACATTACCAGATGGTCAACCCCGAAATCAGATTGATTATATTCCTTGCAGTCAAAATAGAGAAGCTCTATAGAGTCAGCAAAAACAAGACTTGGAGCTGACTATGGCTCAGATGGTGAACTCTTTATTGCCAAATTCAGACTTAAATTGAAGAAAGTAGGGAAAACCACTAGACCATTCAGGTATGACCTAAATAAAATCATGTTCTTTAGTGCCTAGTGAAGTTTCTAGTGCATGGTAAGCATTTAAAATTGTTGTGAGGGACATCCCCGATGGTCCGATGGCTAAGACTCCGCACTCCCAATGCAAGGGGCCCGGGTTTGATCCCTGGTGCTAGTGATAAAGAACCTGCCTGCCAATGCAGGAGACACAAGAGATGCGGGTTGGATCCCTGGATAGGGAAGATCTCCTGGAGGAGGGCGCCGCAACCCACTCCAGTATTCTTGCCTGGGGAATCCTGTGGA